TTCGCTGCTCACCAATGAAATACTGAACTTCAACACAAAATAAATTAAAATCTGAACTTTTCCATCAAGATAGAACTGAAAAAAAAACAATCCTCAAAGTTAAAGATGTGTTGTGTTCTCTCTCTCTCTGTCTCTGTGCACTTTACAGTTTGCAGTGTTCAGGTGTTTTAGCAGCGGTGCTGTAACACCTGTGTAATACTGTACAGTGACAGAACATACAGGGTGCAGAGAGAGAAGAACTGGAATGCTGAAACATGGAACAAAGACATTTGCCTGCGGAGAGATTGACCGTCGTTCGGCTCACACGTTACATTTCATCCACCTTCAAAATCCCGCCGTTACAGCGAGCGCGTAAAAAGCTTCTGGTTCTTCTGATTTTAGCAAAGACAAAGAAAATGTTTGGCTGTTTAAATATGAAGGAGAGACGAAGAGAGTAATGAGCTCCTCCGTCTTCAGTCCGACGGGTTCTGAATGACGATCAAGAAATAGTCCTTATCTGCGAAGGAAAACACAAAACAGTTAAAGTCATAATCCAGATTCCTCTATAAAACAATATAACAGACAACAAGACCATCAGAGAGAAGACTGAGTGCTTGTATCTCGTTATTCTTAATGCCTGCCACCGCTCGGATTCCCCTTGAAATCAATAAAACTCTCTCTCTCTTTAACAGCCGACGCCGTCAGGAATCAAACCTTTGCTTTTAGGGGGATTGTATGAAGACAGAAAGATGATAAAGTGTTTGTTTGATAGATAATAGATACATGCAGAGAAACTAAAATGTGTGGAGAAGTTAAACACGTGCAGATAAATGAAGCATTGATTGGTCCTGATGTGCGTGATGGACAACAACAATAATGTAATTCTAATATGAGTTGAACAAACTGCTTTCACTGCACACGTTATGTATTTCTATCTGTCTCTGATTAAAGGCTCTGGGGACAGAATGCATTCATTTAATAAAAGGCTTTATTGTATTTATCAAAGGCAGGAGACACTGAGGGGCTGCAGTTTATAGAGGCAGCACTCACACTGCTCAATGAGGGGGGGGGCACCGAACACCGAACACACTTAATCTGCCTCTGACAAAAACAAAAACATTTAATCTAAACGTCTGCTTTTAAAACGGTGTTAAAGTTGTTTAAAGTGGAAGATGTTCTCAGACACTATATATTTAATATTTATTTATTAATA